GAACCTTGGCGTGTAGCGCGTCAGCACGCGCAAATGCGACGGCAAACAAGAAGAATCACCCTACCTGGCATGCATGCAGCTGCAGTTGTGAGTGTGCACGAGCCACTTCTACCTGACTGTATCGCAAACGTGCATCACGCGCGTGCTTGTGCACACAGCAACAGCGCAGCGTATTCACGACCTGCCGCTTTGGGCGACACGCCTGCTCACGCTGCCCGAGACAGCAGTCGCCCTGCTCATGCTGCCCGTAGACAGCAGCAGCAGGCCCATCTCAACGCGTGACTCTCTCGGCTGAGCTGTCTCAAAGCAAGATGACGCGCGCGCGCACTCGCTACACGCTTTCCAGGGGGAAAGCGCGCGCGTTCACACCCGGCCAGCAGAACCATTCAGAACTTCATGTTCATCGATCACGTCCTTTGAGCCATGCAAGCTCACCTCGTAATCTCAATTTGCTTGGAGACCGAGACATGTGTCTCTTCATACCTCACCCCTAGCTGCTATGGCTCGTGTTCGCGCGTATCGGATGGCGTTTGGGTCTCGGCCGAGTCACGAGAAGGAAAGTCATCTTTCGACTCGACCACGTTCACACCACCCCAATCCAAACAAACACCAGGCAACTTCACATCGTCAGAGGCATGCACTAACCATCTTCTATTTCAGCTTGGAGATGCGCCGTCATGTGAAGGTCTTACACCGCAGCCCGTGGATAGGCAACATCAGACAAGCCTCTCTGCCTCTGGCTGGAAATTCAAATCAAGAATCAGAATCAAATCAAGAACCTTTAATCTGAATTATGAATCAATACTTTGAATCTTGAATGTCAAAAGCGTCGATTTCGAAGGGCGGGAGCACGTGACATCCAAATCACGTGAGTCTGAAGCTTCGCGCCGCACGGCATGCGCTTTCTGGATGATGAAGACGCGGCTGGGCAAGCATCCTGGATCGTACCGAATGCGGGCGATTGGGATCGAGACTGATGTTGACCAGCTTTCAAGCGCACGGCTGAACTGCCTACCATCACGTACGTTGGATCTTCTTAGTCGCTGCGATCTCACCCAAGACGACATATCTTGAGAGACTCAAGGACACCTTTGCCAGGCAAGGGGACGCCGAGTGCCTGTGCATCAAACGTACCTCTGCTACTATCATGTCCACTTCACCTCCTCTCTCATCTCCTGGACCTCAAGCTGGGTCAGAGCAA